GGGTTAGCACTCCGACGCTTAAGTCAGTATAGATCGGACTCCTTATTTAGTTTGAGGTGAGATTTGATCCCTGAGCGTGAAATGAAGTCCTCTATTTATAGGTAATGGATCCGACAGTACACACGATCGACGGTTATGTGTCTTTTTCTCATATCGGACCTGTCGGGTTCCGAGCAGGTCGGACCCTAGTCAGGTCGAACCTTGGTGCCCATAATTAGTCTTTTTTAACGGGCGAACCCGGCCACCCTGGCGGGGCCGAGGTGGACCTAAGCAATCCTTCTTATTCGGTTTCTTCAAACACTAATAAGGGTCTTCCACGTGTCTCGGGTACGTTTACCCCCAAACAATTTTAATTTGGTATTTGGTGTTTGTCATTTGTTGTTTTGTTATTAAAAATACAAAATATAAAAATAACAAAAACTAAAATAATATTAAATTACAATTATGATTTTAAAAATGAAAAGAGAAAATAGAATCTTAAAAATGTAAAACACCTTCCTTTAATTTCTCCCTGTATTTCATCTTTTCTAATTTTCTCCCAACTTCCATATTTATCACTCCCTCTCTCTCCACTCTCCCAATTTTACGTAACTTCTTCATCTCTCCTAACAATATCTCCCTCTCTCTCTCACATTCTCCTCCATCCCACATATTTCTCCATTTTCTTTCTTGTCACATCCTCCCACACTCCCACTAATCTGTCTCACACTTACCCTTCACACGGACAGGAGTACTTTGTGTTTCCTTTCTGTCCAAGTTTCTATAGGTCAATATAAATTTTTTGATTTTTATGGTGAATGGGGGTATCTCCATACAAACAGAAAAAGACACAGGGGAAGTCTCTGTCAATTTAGTTGGAATATCAAAAACCTCCTTCCCACACATACAGGGAGTACTTTTCTTTTGTCTCCAAGTTTTTTTTATGTCTATATAAATTGATTAATTTTTCTTTTAGGGGAGAGAGCAGAAAGGAGAAACACAGAGTGGAGACACACAAAAACACAGAGAACATACATTGAGGTTCACCATATCTTTTGGTCTCTCCAAATTTCCTTTTTTTTCCTTCTTCTTAAAATCTCCTCCAATCGCTGCCCGCTCAATTTTTGATTGAACTCAACATCCTTCAGAAGGTTTGAAATCTCCTTTATTATTATTTTACTATCTTTTCAAATTACTGAATGCATGAGATATACAAGTATTAGATGATGGACACTAAAATCCATTTTACAATTATTATAGGAGATGTTTTTTTTTAGTGTTTTATGCATTGGGACCCTTATGTGATTATGTGACTCTGGTTTTAATTTGTTAAGATGCTTGATTTGATATTAATTTCACACTATGATTAGTTTCATAGATTGGTTACTGTGCATTTGAATTTTTAATGTTGACATCTTCTCATTTTTGTAGATATTGTCAATTTGAATTTCGTTTCCTTTTATTTTTTAATTTTCAAACAATAGGGAGAAATTAAATTTTAAATATTAGTGCAGTGTTTTCCCTATGAGTTTCTTTTATTAAAATTCTAAACTCCTCTTAAAAAATAATTTTACAAAATTTCGAAAACGAATTTCTTAACAAACAACATAAATCAAATTTGAGAATTAGTAGTGTCATCTTTGTGTATTTTCTTAAAATTCATAAATACATGAAAATTCTCGTGCAAATAAAAATTTCCATAATTTTGGAAAAAGTAATGTTCTCTTTATGGATTTTATAAATTCCATAAATACATGAAATTTCCGTTTTAAAATAATTTTAATAATTAAAAATAATTTATCATAAAACAATTTAAACAAATTTCAAAAGTCACTCATTTCTATAAAAAAACAAAAGGGAGATTGAGTAGTGTTCCCTTTTGGAATTTATTAAATTAATCCAATACATGAAATTTCTCCTAAAAACAAATTTCAATATTTTGAATGACATTTTATGTGACTCATAATTATTAAATCATGTTTTATTTCTAAAATGTGGATTAATAAACATGGGACATTTAAAAATAAAATAAATAAACTTTTGTGGACCTTTAATAATTTAATAAATTGGATAATAAAAAAAATACTGGTAACTGTTTTCACGGCTGTTGTAGGGTGCTAATACCTTCTCTATACACAAATGACTCCTGAACTCAATCTGAATTGCATAGACTAATTTACGTTTCGTCTAATTGGGTGACCAATCACACCCTCAACATGATTTGTGGCCACTCCAAAATCTTTTATTTTAAGAGACTCTTAAAAGAGGACGTCGACCGTTCCGCGTCGCGATCAAGTTGCGACATATATAATTCTATTTTCTTGATTAAATAGAAGAAACAAAAAATAAAAAATGGAAACGTTACCCGACCCTTAAACACTTATTAAAATTCAGAAACAAACCGAACATAATTTAACATTATAATTTAACAAAAAAAACTATTTATTTGTTAATTTTCCAAAGATTAGATCTTAATGATTATATGAAAAATAAAGTGATAAATTCAAATCTAATATGCATGTATATGTACAAATAAATATTTTACACATTTTAACCGATTGACAAATTGTTTTACTAACATCAAAAGATACTATAATGATTTTTCTAGTACAATATGCAAGAGCGGGAATCAAATTCATGACCTCTTCTGATAGCAGATAGATGTCATAACTCATTGATCTACGAGAAGCATAATAATTTTTAATTTCCACGTAGTGAAACATCAAAGTAGTAGTTTGTTTATTAATTTTGAAAAAGCAAGCAAATTAAAAATAAAATAAAGTGGGAATCTATTGTATTATGGATGCACACTTTTTTTAGAATAATATATATTTGTTTCATTAGCCCTTTTTTATTTCCTCCAAACACAAATATCTCTTGTATCCACTCACCAAGATATGCAAAAGCTTAGTAGCTAAGGAAGGAAATCAAACTTTTCTCCCACTTTATTTGTTTGTTTGCTTTTTTTTTTCCCTGTAATTTTACTGTCTTTCTCGCCCCCTTTTGAATTCCTGTCAATGTTCTAAGAGACCTTAAAAACGTGTCTATTCTATAGATCTATTATTTTATTTTAGTCCTTGAACCCTTTAAAAAAACAATTATTTTAATTTGATCGTTGCTATTACTCTGTCATCTAACATATTTTTTTCACTTAATTATTCACTTTAATCAACCCATGAGTCGCTCAAATACAATGTCCACATTGACATGTTAATAATAATTAATATTTTAAACCACATTATTTATCTATTAAACAAATGATAAATAATAATAACTAAAATAGTTGTTTTGTAAATTTGAAGGACTAAATAGATATTTTGGAAGTTAAAGGGCAAAAATAAACAAGGATATTTTAGCCTCTAATATTTAAGTATCTTTAAATTTAGTTCCTATTTTATTTTAAATGTTTTATTTTAATCCTTTATGTTTTGACTTTTTTTCTACCTAGAAGAGAAGATATGGTAGTGAGCAAATTTTGTGGGAAAAAAAATTATATTTGCATGGGAACGTTTGTAACCGAGCAAAAAACCACTAGTTTATTACAAATTTTTTATTATTTATAATTTGGCCTCATCAAATTAGAAATTAGTTTACAGTATATATCTACACAATTCTAGCTAGGGTTAATTTATAATTAATTACTTTCGCTGTACTAAAACTTACAAATAATTAGATCACTTCTTTTAGTCTAATTAAAATAGCAAAAAAGGATATCAAGGGCTCGTTTGGTAACGTTATTGTTTATTGTTTCTCGTTTCCAATTTTATTAAGAATTCTAAGTATTTGACAACTATTTACGTTTCTTATTATTATTTTTAATATTCTCAAAATTGTATAGAAATTTTGGAAACAACAAAAACAATCTTTTTG